AGTAACAGACAGGAAGTGGGAGGAATAGTAAAACGACAAAAATTGCTAAGAGCTACAAGAAATAGGAGGTTGTGGAGATCTATTATCGCCTACGTCCTGAAGAGACACGACAAGAAGCAGAAGAACTTCAGCCATTATGAGATCTGAAATCGGTCAACTATGCTTTGCTCTCGTAATCTGTAATATTTTTATATGGTTGGCGGAAAAAAATCTTTGAAATGATTAGGTCGCTTTTATATGTTTATAGCTTGCAACACTGGCTCGTACACAAATAAGCGAAATGATACAACAGACATTAGTTAATGTTAAACCCTGATAATTGATTGGTAGCCTTTTCTTTATTTTTTTCTTGAATATTAATTGGTTGAATAGTGACTCGATCTCCCGCTTATAAATTCTTTCTCCGCTATTTTCTAGTCTTGGTCATCCATTGTTCTAGAAAATGGCGCTCCTTAATCGTAGCAATTCCCAGCCGTAAACAAATAAAGACTTTTATTTACGAAACAAAAAAAAATGGGTTGATCCGCTTCGCCTGTCAAAAAGACAAAATTCACATCTTTACCTCACAAGCCACCATAGAAGTAGTTCATCTTTTGTCTTTCAAATTTTGAGGACAATAACAAAAATGGTTGAACAAAAAAAAGAATCAACTCGAAGACCCCACCCACTAAACGCACAAACCCAACCTAAATACCCGTATCGCAGAGGAAAGGCAGAAGAAAAAGGATGAAGTGAAAAGTTAGGGTTGAGTGGGGAAACGTACAGGTTTTACGGGTTATTTTGTGTGCGGGGTATTGTTCCGATTGGTCACATCAAACGGTGGGTTCTATTAAATACGCCAGGATATTAATGTGTTTTTTTCTTTTTTGTTTTGTTTTTTTATTTATTTTTTTTTTTTGCAAAGGTTGGTCGCAGATTGAAGATTAGGTCAGATCCGTAAATGTGGTATTACGGAACGTCAGATGCCAGAATTACCATAATTAACATTGTGATTATTAGGATGGTGGATCTGATAAAGCGCTTTTGTGGTTTTTGCGGTAGAGGACACGGAAAATGGTGGGGAAGAAATTTTTTTTTAAAAAGTGGGTAAGAATAGAAATGGGGTCGGCTAACAGGAAATAATAATTATTATAATAAATGTAATGTCATATACGGTTATTTCCCTGGTAATTTGCACACACACACAAATACACATGTATTCCGCTAACCAATGACGTATAATAGCTTTCCAAAATATATAGTTGCTGAACAACTAAGATCTTTTCTTAGAAGTCTTAATACTAAGCAAAATAATACTGCTTCAATTAATCCCAAACCTATTAATCTCCTATATCGTAGTCAAATGCATACTAATTATAAACAAGATGAAAATATACTAAAATCAGTAAATACTAATATATCTTACTGCTTAACCTATATAAATAATACCTAACAAAATTTTAAATATCTTTTAAGTTTAACGCATTATTTTAAATCATATAGTACTTTAGGGAGACTCGGTGAATTTATCCAAATTGTAAAAGACACTTGAAACGTATATATATATATATATATATATATATATATATATATATATATATAAGCAGAAACTCCTCAAAAATACTTTCTAAACAACTAAAAATTGCAGCACAAGAACTACGCAACCACCCTGACATAATTGTAAAAAAAGCTGATAAGACCAACATTTTCGTCATCCTCAACAAATTGGATTACAACAAAAAAACTTGACCACATACTCTATGATCACTAAAAAGGTTTTTAAAAAAACTCAACAAGAACCCGACCAACCAATTAAAATCAAAGCTTAATAAACTCATTACTGCTAATAATGCTGAACAGAACTCTTTAAAACTTCCTAAAATTGTTGGTAATTATAGACCCGGTTACATATACAGCACTATGAAAACACATAAACCTAACTATCCTCTCCGTCCTATCATATCGCAAATTCCAACTCCTGTATATCAGCTAACAAAATACATTAATCAACTCATTACTCCCTACCTTCCGAGTAAATATAGTGTTAAGTCAACATTAGAAGTAATCCTAATCTTAAAAAGTGAAAAACCCAACAACGAAATCATAGCTTCACTGGATGTTGAAAACTTATTTACCAATGTCCCTGTTAGTGAAACTATTGACATAATTATAAGGAATATATACAGTAACTCATCTTTACCCCAACTTAAAATTAATCCGAATATATTACGGAAACTACTATTAGCTTGTACTACTGAAGTCCCTTTCTTAGATCATAATAATAATATATATATATAACATGATGGCGTCTCCATGGGTTCAGTACTGGGTCCGACATTTAGCAATTTCTACATGTCCAACCTCGAAAATAAGATATTTACACAGGTTAAAAAACCTTCTATCTAAGATATGTTGATGATATCCTTATGTTAGTTAAAATACAAATGAAATACTTCAACTTCAAAAACGTTTCCAAAATAATTCTGTCCTTAAATTCACGTACGAACTCAACACTAATAATAAAATTCCCTTCCTTGACATATTGATAAACACAAATAATAACAAATTTACTATTTCGCCATATAAAAAACCTACCAGCATAAATTCATGTAAGCTTAACTACAAAAGCGAATGTCAATATTACTACAAAATAGCAATTATAAAAAATCTAATACATCGTTCAGAAACTAATTCATCTATAAAACAGATTTTTTACAGTGAACTAAAGAATATAAAACAAACACTTATTAATAATAGCTTTCCAAAATATATAGTTGATGAACAACTAAGATCTTTTCTTAGAAGTCTTAATACTAAGCAAAATAATACTGCTTCAATTAATCCCAAACCTATTAATCTCCTATATCGTAGTCAAATGCATACTAATTATAAACAAGATGAAAATATACTAAAAAAATCAGTAAATACTAATATATCTACAACAGATCCTAGCAAAAAAAATTAGGTTAATCATATACTAAACTAAATCTAGTATATCCAGCTTAATTCTTCGCAATGATTCTTTCCCTTCTCCCCGTTAGTGATTTGTAGAAAACCAACTTAGTTTACAAATGCCCCTTTGGGAGATTGTATCTCCAATGGATTAAATAATATTTATGTTGGTCACACCACAAACTCGCTTTCACGACGCTTGACTCTACATTTGAATGATAACTCTAACATTTTTAGGCATTTAAAACAAAATACACAATTCCGGAAAATTCTCGTTGAAAACACAGTTATACTTAAACATGAAAACAATAAACAAAAACTAAAAATTCTTGAAGCTATATACATAAAACAGTTGAAACCTAACCTGAACAAAATAAACTACGAAATCTCCACAAATATTCTTAAATGCCTTTAATTGATAACAGAAGCCATTGGTTTATACTAACGGCTTCCCATACTTAATACTTCTCGTTTTCACTCTCGCGTGGTCTGCGATGCGATTTTCGCGAGTTTGTCCTTTAATACAATTGTTTCATAGTCTAATTCAACTCTGACCAATAAGTGTTATATATATATATATATATATATATATATATATATATATATATATATATATATATATATATTTTGTTGGATAGATGTGAGTTTGCCAAATATGTTAGCTCTATCCCTGATATTGAGCGCTTTCTAATAAGTACCGCGCATATAATATATAAATAATTATACATATATATATTTGTTTATATTTATATACACTTTTCACACACACACACACACACACATATATATATATATATATATATATATATATATATATATATATATATATATATATATTCATATATTCAGATGTTATGATATTGGATAGTTCATATCTTACTAAACTTTCTCGCATGCGCAAAACGATAAATGTAATACATTGTTTAATAATTATAAATGGGGTGTCTATTTCAAATCCGAAATATCCACTATAATAACATTTGAAGTAATAAAAAAAAGTCGGATTAAAAATAAATCCATTAATTCTTTATATATATATATATATATATATATATATATATATAAAAGGAAGAGGTTATAGTTGTTCCAATGAGAGAAAAGTTTATATATTAAAAAGAAGAGAGAAACCGCAAACGTTTTTGGTTGTAATGTGGATGTTTTTTTAAATATATATTATGCTTTATTTTCCATAATTTTGCAACACGTGTTTCGGGTCTCGTGACCTTCTTCAGGCAAAGGCTGTATATTTCCACATATTATTAAAATGAATTAATTTTCCTTATGTTTTTCGATGTTAAGCATTCTCGATGATAAACATCCTCTTTTTGTGTGTGTTAGTGACACAAATGCCTTTCTTGAACTGGCAGTGAGAAAGTTCTTCTGCGTGAACGGTAATAAAACAATTAAGATTGGTCCGTGAAAGGTTAAGGAAAGATATCTGTATCCTTATCTTTTAATAACCCCTGTGTGTTCTTAGATCTATTTCCATTTTTTGTATTGTGTTTGTTTTTATCAGCATACGTATGTATACGTATATTCTCTCTCCATACATACTGTCTTATTATAAGGAATTAGTATACACATATATACACGCATACATACACACACATATATATGTACATACATACATACATAAATACACACATACACACACTTCCTATGTTGTGTAGGGTTCGTGTCTGTGCTTGTGAGAAGTATTGTTTTGCCAATATATATATATATATATATATATATATATATATATATATATATATAGTATGCGTATGTATACGCATATTCCCTCTTCATACATACATACTGTCTTATTATAAGGAATTAGTACGCACACATACATGCACTCAAATACACAAAATACAAGTCATATATAGGTATCAGCCAACAGCTAAACAACAAAGTTTCCCTCCACAAAAGTAACATAAAGTTACCAGACATAATTTTGGCACCGGTTCCCGTACGATCACCGAAGTTGAGCAACGTCGAACCTGGTCAGTACCTAGATGGGTGACCGCTTCGAAATACCAGCTGCTGTAAGCTTTGATGTGTGGGTGCTATGGCGTACAGCGACGTCACGTTGAAACACTTGTTCTCGTACGATCACCGAAGTTAAGCAACGTCGAGCCTGGTCAGTAGCTAGATGGGTGACCGCTTGGGAATACCAGGTGCTGTAAACTTGGATGTGCCGCTGGATAATGGCTCAGAATTTTTTAATTCGAAAGCCGAGCTGCAATTCCAGTTGGGTTCGTTATATTCAATTACGCGTAAATACCCTTGGGAAAGTTATGAATCCATCCCTTCTCCCCCCAGCTATGCGTTAATTAGTAAAACTCGTATCACTAAAACCATTATTATCTCAAATAAATAAATAACAGATTGCGTACAAAATTTTTAGATTTCGCTATTAAATAACCCAGAGGTTGATATGCCGCGAAACAAAAAAAATCAGCCAACCAACTAAATTGTTAACTATTTTCTAGGTTTACTTCTATGTTATACTACTATAGTAAATGGTGTGTGTGTGTGTGCTGTTGAAAAAATATATCTACTTTCAGTAATTTTTATACTATCCACAATAGGACTTATGCATGCTTTACTATAGTAGAATATCAAAAAAATAGTTCTTGATGCACTAAATTCTTCCGAGATTATTATTGGCACCCGCTCGCATTCGAACATCGTGATCATCGACCTCTTTCTTAAATTCTCTTTCTCTCCCTTAGTAGCGATGGCGGAGATGACTGTGAATCAAAAATAGCTTGATGAGGCCATTCGCGTGAATTTGATTTTGGTGGACAACTCTACTCGACGGAGAAGCACTTGGTCATTTATGAAATTTATACGATCTTCTTTTTATATTAATCTCAGTTATGATATTTTTCCATAAATGAAATATCAAAATTAATAATAAAATGAATGGAAATACAAATAACACAGTAAAATGTAATAAATGTACATAAAATTATAGTATTTTATGTACACTTCTGATAAAATATCATAAGAAAGGTACCTACAAATTAATTAGATACCTTTCTTATGAAATATGAAATTTAATCTCACTCTTAACAGTCTTATTTTAATTTCTTTATAATATATTTTCCATAAAGCATCGTAAACGTAAAGGTGAAAGCTAAGTACAAAAAAAATTAGAGCGCTGAAAGTTTTCCTAAAAAATAACGAGGTAAATAATTTATTCACTTAAATGTAAATAATTTCACTTTTCTCCTCCCCGTCGAACAAATTATATATATATATATATATATATATATATATATATATATATATATATATATATATATAATTTTATCATATAGACAAAACCATTTTACTCACTACAAAGATGTAACTTGGTTTCAGTGCATCTCCATCTTTCCTCTCCTATCTCTCACGCTTGTGAGATGATAAGCCTGGACTTTTGACCGGAGTTTATCAGCAGGAAAACTTCCACAGACCAGGCAACATCAAATATCCAATCCATTCATCACCAAACTGCTGTCAACAAGCACTATTGTTTCACTCCGTCACCTATATTTTTTTTCTTCTCAAACAAATGGAAAAAAGGAAGTGACGTTTCACATACGGCTTGCCTACAAGCAGGATTTTTCATAACCATTTTCGATTCTCACCCGTCGAAGTGCAGTTGAAATGCACTGAAACCAAGTTGCATCTTTGTAGTGAGTAAAATGGTTTTGTCTATATGATAAAATTATCATAAATAAATAATTATCGCTCTACTATCGGCATCGAGCCCTCTTTTGGAATAATGCTGTGAACGTTGGAATTTATATATTACTTTCGTTCTCATCGCATCGGTATATATATATATATATATATATATATATATATATATATATATATATATATATATATATATATATATATATATATATATATATATATATATATATATATATATATATATATATATCTCTTGTAAATGTCTTGTAAATGGAATTTTTAAAGCATTCTGAATGTAAAAATAAAGAAAAAAGAATATAAGATAATAAGAAATATTACCTGCCAAAAAAAAGTGAAGTTTTGTTGAAATCGGTTGAAAAATGTAGGAAATCCGATCCCATATATAAACGAACACACACACACACACGCGCACACGCATACACACACACACACAACCTGGGTTTTATAATAAGTATAACTCGATATGAGTTGTCCCCCTTTCATTCTGGCGACAGTGATGCCTCTTAATTGTGTTTTCAAATTGATTTCGTGCAAAAACAATTGTGTTTTTTCCAATTTTTGGCGCTGTCAGAACCACCGCAAGGTAATTTTACGTAGTCCTGTGAAGTTTTGTTGAAATCGGTTGAAAAAATGTAGGAAATCCGATCCAATATATAAACGAACAGACACACACACACGCGCGCGCACACACACAACCTGGGTTTTATAATAAGTATGATATATATATATATATATATATATATATATATATATATATAGTATTTTATTACTTTAAACGTTATTTTTAGGTACTCGTATTTGAATAGAACATCCTATCTTTTAAACAGTGTTTATTTCGTCTACGACCTGCGCATTCCATAAAACTCCATAAAGAAAATGCAACTTCCGGTAGTATTTGAATCCCACTTCCTAGGAGCGCTTCCTCACAGCGAAGCAAGGGAATTGGATTCATACCTTTATCAAGAGTATTTGTGCGTTAGTGAATTTAACGAACCCGACTTGAATTCGAACTCGTCTCTCCGATTTCTCATTCCGAGCCGTTATCCAATACACCGCACTGTACTTATATTATTGCTCTAAATAAATTTGCATAAATTGAAAATATTATTATCTAATGATAATGATGTATCTGACAAAAGCGCGAGGCATAGTAATTATAAATGCAGATACATACCACGAAAAATAATGACAATATTACGAACAGATAATAAAGCCCATGAAAAACAAAACTAACGGTCATAAATAACAATATTGAATTGTTTACAAAAGTCTATAACAATAAATTCAATAACAACAATAAATTCTTAATTTCTCTATCTTCAAAATGCAGCTATTAGGCATACAAACTTAAAATCAGGATATATGGTGTGGCTTAATTGACAAGACAAAATAACTTGTAATAATGATCTTTTCAAGTTGGTCAACTATCTCCAAAGAATTAAGAAATGAATAATTTGCTAGAGTTATTTGTTACAGATCTCTCAATACAATACACATATTTCATATAAATACAATAAAAATAACTAATATATTTAAACTTAATATTAGAGTGTATAGACAACATTTTTGTTTTTAAATACATTTACACCAAGGTATTTTATACATTTAAAGTTGGTCTATCATCCACTATATTATTAATATTCTGTCTATATTTCTGAGATGAGGTATTATGTACAGTATTTACATTAGTCAGACTATTGTCCTCATCTTTGTCACAACGTTTCGGCCGTTGTACGCTCCGGCCTTCTTCAGGTGGTTGGAATTTCGAACTCAACCCTTTATTTCGCTCACTGGGGTAGACTGTTCTAGTTCTACGTGCCATGTTTGATGGATGTCAGTTATCTCCTGCTAATTTTCCCTCTGAAAGTTCTCCACTGCCTTAACCGGGTATTGAACTCACATAGTTTGGGTCTGTCACTGGATATAACCAACGCCTTTATCCACTGTGCCATGTTGTGACAAATATGGTGACAAAGATGAGGACAATAGTCCGACTAATGTAAATACTGTATTATTAATATGTATATATACATATAATATATATATATATATATATATATATATATATATATATATATATATATAGAGAGAGAGAGAGAGAGAGAGAGAGAGATTATATATTGATCAAGGTATAGTGGATTAAAGCGTTTTATAAATCATTGCATATATACATGTTTTATATATATATATATATATATATATATATATATATATATATACGGGAGGGGCACGGTGGAGTAGTGGATAGCGGCTTAGATTGAGGAATCCATTGAGAAACTGGTCTAGGAGAAGGACAACTCTGAATTCAAAACCAGCAGAGGGTCGTTTGGGGACCTTGTGGCACGAAGTGCACCATGTCTCTGTATTCGGCCCTTCAAAAACTGTGGATGGTCCTGCACGAAACCTTCACCACTCTAATCAAATATGTGCTGTTGTCGGGCTGTCGGTTTCCTAGGAACAGATCTGCTTGACCCTCATACATCGAATTCGACAGGAGAGTCGAGTATATATATATATATATATATATATATATATATATATATGTTTCGTCAGTCATGTATCGAAAGATACATGATCGTGTAAGCATTTATCACGCATGGCACATAACTGACCCCGAGTCGGGGTTCACCTGGGAACAAAAGCAATTAAGAGGTGGTTCCAAGCTCCTCAAAATCTACAATCTCCCGATCAAATGCCTTGCTGCAAGATGTAGTTTATCATCATACCCAGGACTGGCCCTAAACCAGATCAAAAAGCTTCTTTTCTTACGAAACAATGTTTTTGGCCCTGTAACTGACTGATTTTGTTTAGCGACATATCAACCTCTGTGAGTTATTTAATGCTGAAATCTAAATATTTTGAACACAATTTTATGACTTCAACTAAATATATTTTGAATGCAATTTTAAGCCTTCGAGTACAGATAAAATGTATTGTTGGTTATTTTACTATAAAAGGTATTGATGGTCATTTGTTTTATATAAAAATGTATTTTTATATTTTCATAGTGTTTTATTTTTGTTTAGGGATTCACTATTTGCCCATAGCTTGGACCTTAACAAGTGCTACCATCCTGGGTTAGGGTGGATCTAGGAACAACAGCAATTAAGAGGTGGTTCAACGCTCCTCAAAACCTCCCGATTAGAGGCCTTGCTGCCAGATGTAGTTTATCGTCATATCAAGGACGGCCTAAAAACAATAACAGCGGGAACTATGCGTTTTCTTGAAGACTAACGACACGACCAGTTGTATATGCGTACCACACACACAACAAAATAAAACTGTCACGTTTGTTCTCATTGGATGACAAGTAGATAAGATGGCGCATGCGCGTAGAATTAGCGTAGTTGGAAAATGACAAAGCACACGACAGCAAACGAAGTTTCAGAATTTTTATAATAAAAAAAAAAAGTAATAAGCGGACGATTTTTTGGAGGAAAGAAAGCAGGGATGAATAATCCGGTCGATGGTAGAT